AATTAGTTATAAATTTCCATTGTCCATATACAGAATCTAATTGGAGGTTGTCTTAATGTTAAGGTTGGTTTAAATTTTGAACAAATACAGTAACACACAGTGCCTCTATTTCTGGTTTCTTGTTGCTGTCGGGGTATAACTATTCTTTCCCTTGGGAAGGGAAATTCCAGGCTAGCTAAACTAAAAATGATGATACACATTAGTTAACAGTGTTAACTGTACCTTAAACCTGAATACAGTAAAGGTGATACCTGATTTGTGCCACCATAAACATGTTTATGGTGGCACAAATGCTGAGCTGCTATACTTTGTTGCAACCTGTGAAAGGAAGATCAGTCATAAGACTGCTGTTTTATTGCAATGGATGTCTATTACTTCTGTGGCAGAAGAGTATGAGCAGCCTGAGCTCCTTGCACTCTCCTGACCTTCTGGGCATGTGCCCTGGAGGCTTGAGGGGCTCTCAAGTCCCCAGACCACTTGCCTGCTTTCTCCACTTACTGAGGGGCACTCCAGGGAATCTCAGGGTGCCTTTCCGTAAGCAGACAAGGTTCTTTTGGTAAATGTGATATCTTTTATTAGACTAATGAAATCATTGGAAAAATTGTTCTTTACAAGCTTTTGGGCAAAAACACCCTTCTTCGGACACGGGAAAAGTCTGCTGGTGTTTGTATGATCTCCTGGGTGGATTAGAAGCTTAAGCCAATATGCAAAATTCAGGTTTGTGAAAATGCAAATGTGTGGCAGGGAAGATCATGGGGGACATGAGTTAGTAGGTGCGAGATTTGGTGGCGGGGAGGAGGGAACATTGACCTGGTGATAGAATGAAGTTGGTAAAATGTAGAGAGGTTACCTGGAGTTATCAGATGGCAGGCAGGTTATGACGTGCTGTAAATTCAATGTCTATATTTAATCCATGGTGAAGTCCATAAGCCGGGAATTTGGGACTTCCTGCTCAGTCAGAGGTTGGGCATGGGTCTGGCTGAGTGGGGAAAGTGGGGATTATCCCCTCCTAGCCAGACCCAGGGTGTTGGTCAGGCTTGGTGGGGCAGGGGTGGAGGAGGAGGAAGGGGTGGGGAATAACTCTTCCCCACTTGGCCAACTCTGTTCCTTGTCTGGCTGGGTGGACTAAAGCCGGTTCCCATTCAGTTAAGACATGTGCCCCAGTGATTGCTGGGGATGGGTTGGGCTGAGTGGGGAAAGCAGGGGAGATCACATGGCCCCTTATCTCTCACCATCAAGGGTGAGACAAGATGATGTGCGTTTTGTCTCATGAGCCACATCAGCTGTGTTGCAACACATCACAGCACAGCTGATCTGCTTTGCTTGATGATGTCCACTTCTAGCCTTTGTGTTATACTCTATCTTAGGAAGAATGCAGCTGGGATGCTGCAATACTTGGCACTGTAATGACGGCACTGGGGAGAGGGTAAAGTAAAAAAGTAACCTGCTCTGGAAACGTAACACTGTACTTTAATTTTCTTTTATATTGCTCCCATGTACTATCAAAAGAGGACAGCCGAAGCTATTATAATACCTGATAAATTCATTCAAGTGTAAAATATACAAACTAGTTTAGTTTATATTTGGGTTTGTAACAGGCAAGAGGGAATGATCTTTCAAGTTAATGGGAAAACAAATGAAACGGCACCTGTTTTTAAGAACTCTGACCTGAACTGTTAAGTGTTAGTCTCTTTTATTTTCTCTTATGTTAAAACAGATCTTCACAACGCTGCTTTCGAAGCTTGTACATATATGTGGTATAATAAAGAAGGAGCATGGTTGTTTTAACCTGCGGGGGGGGGTCTGTGTACATGCTTTACTTCATGCGTTTCAAACTTTCAATCTTTGGAATGAACCTTTTATAAAGAGGAAAGGAGAAATGAGCCATGAGTAACAAGTGTAATTCAATGCAAAAACATTTTGCCAAACTGAGACACAGTTGAGATCCCCTGATTAGAAAGAAACTGCATGATGGCCTGTATTTCTCAATGTTGTCTGTTTTTTAAATGTTTTATGACTAGTTAAACAGAGTATCCTCTCCACAAGAAGATCTTTCTTAGAATTTTACCTTGCCAAGAAGTAGTCTTATTGTATTATGAACTGAGTTGCTACATGAAAAGGTGTACATTTCAAATTGATTGAGAAACAGAAGCTTGCTTACTTTACAAAACTAAGTTGACTTGCAAATGCCAGAATTAAATTGTGCTACTGAGGATTTCAATATGAAATCGCTCAAGGCTGTTTCCTGATGAATGTCCCACATTTGCTAGGTGAATATTTAATTAAAACAATCCTAACACCTTGTGACATGCTTGGGTCCCAGATGCCACCTGGGTATGCCTCTGAGATGTACTCCCAGGATACTTTCAGATCTTTGGGGTGCCCTTCTGTCTAAATCTCTCTTGCCTGTCTGTTGCTTGATCATTGAGAACCAATTGAGATATGACAGAGGCCTGTAGTGACTTAACCTTACCTGTTTCACTAGCCCTCACCAGCTCTTGGCGGAGGGAATTCTGACAGCTAGTAGGATCATATTCTTTGTCCAGTCATGTGCTCAGAAAAGATGGGTCTCTCTTCCGTTGAATGGCAAGCCTGTATGGTCAAATGCTATGGAATCACAGTTCTCACTGACAAGAAGCGAGTAAAAAGATAAAATAATATACAAAAACCAAGAACAAGCACAAGAAATCACTCTCCGTACGTTGAGATACAGGCAAAGATATGAGAATAAACAAACAAAAAAGATACCAGAATAATAAGCTGTTCTTACCCCATATCTGAGACCCAGAAATCTCCCCACATCCAGCTTATCAGCTGGGGACTCCAGTGTTTGCTTATACCCAGGAAAAACTAAAGACCCAACTATGCTCTTGAGGCTAGTTTAAGTGTAGCTGCCTATCTAGCTGGCTGACGCACATCACCTTTTCAACTCTAGGGGGACTCGGACTATTCCAGTAAATTTGTCCCCTAACAGTACACTTTTACTGGACTACAAGATTTTTTTGTATCTTATTAACACCAGGGGAATGTGTGCATCTTTTCAGACATGGACATTCACTAATCCAATATATTGTCTCTCAATTTCCTTGTACTGGGAAATGTTTTTCTCATTTCAAGGTGTTACTTCAAGCTATATCTTGTTCCTTTTTAAAATGTAAATGAGTCGTTGTCCGGGTGGGTCTTTCTGGCTGTAAACACGCATGTCAGATTCTGGTTGTCGCTTTTCAGCCTTTCCTTGAGTGCTCTTCCCCCCCCCCCCCCACTGAAAGTCATTATGTTGTGCAGTCCTGGCTCTATTATAACATAAAAGATGCATTTGATATCAAATACCACAGTGCATATAAACATAAGGGCAGTAAGGCTAAATAGAGTTTGATGCTACCTACAGGTAGAGGCTATGCATTGGGGCTTTGTGAAATTTCGCTGAGTGTTTCATTTTCAGCTCGAAACAACAAAATCAAAATGAAACCAAAAGCTTTGAAATGTGCCCTTATTTCATTTTAAAGCAGTTGAAACATTTTAGTTTTGAAGCAGCCCGGTGGCAGGAGGCAGGGGAGAGCCAGGGCTGTGCTCCTAGTGGCTCCAGAGCCCCATGGAACTCAGCCTGGCGACAGAAGGTGAGGCACCACCTTGTCTCTCCCCACCTCCCACTGCTTGGCTGTGCTCTGACCAGCTCTGCAGCTCCATGAGCTCAACCTGCCTTCTCAGCACTGCTGGGCTCCTCCTTGGGCTCAGCCTGTGGGCCCCTGGATCTCCATGCCAGATGGTAGGAGGCTGCTGCTGCTGCTGCTGCCTGGGGCCAGTGGCAGCAGCAGTTTGCCTGGTGCCAGGTGCAGGCTGTGCCCAGTGGCCTCCTGTCATCCAGGGGGCCCATACCCCTGGATCTATGTGCTGGATGACAGGAGGCTGCCACTGTCGGCAAGTGTCATGAGTTTTGCTTTGAACAATTTGAGGTACAGTTTCCCAGAAACCTCTGCACTTATCTCCTTGAAATTTGGCAGGCTTCATGCCCTCAGAAGGGGCTACCATCCCTGCAATTTTCACCTAAATCGGGCAAGAAATTATGATGTTTTAGGCATTTTCATGATTCCCCATTATAGCCTATGGGCAGAATGCTTTCAAAGCATTTAAAAAATGAAACCAAATAGTGCTTTGAAACAAAACACTGTCCTTTGGAAACAGACATTGAAATGAAATGATGGTCTTTTGGACTTTTAAAATTTCTGTAAGATGCTGCAGGAACTAGAAAAGATGCTTGAGGGTCTAATTTAAATTATGCAAGTCCTGCCAGATCTTCCACTGCTGCTGGCTATATTATTTTGATTAAAGTCTAGAATTTGTAGACTTTTTCATTATCACTGGGGAGATTTTAAGTTTGGCTTTGTCACCTATGGAACACTATTCTAATTTTTTCTGGAAAATGAAATAATATTAAACCTTATAATCTGTAAGCACAATAATACCAGTAACTATTCCAGAAAGCTATTTTGTCTCCAACCAAATGAGGTATATTACATATGGGGATTCAATTTAACTAGAAACTGAGGTATAGTGCTTAAAGCAGTATGTAATAGCTGTAGTTAGGTGCATTTGTAAACACTTGTCTCCTGAGGCTTTTTGCTTGTTTTAAATCTCTTTAGTATAAAGGGATCATGTGACATCCAAACCTCCCTAGGTGGTATTGCTATCCTTTATTTCAAGATAGCTTCAAAATACTATGAGAATAACAAATGAGATGTGTTTTAAATCCTGTCCTGAATAAATTGGCAGATGTGAGCTAGTGACTGCAGGGACTAAGGATTACATAGTCATACCAAATTTCTTTACACAAAAGGTACCTTGCTTAGTTCTCAAAAAAGGCTTTGAAGAATATGTATATTAAGTAATGTGCTAATACACAAAGCCATAATTTAAATGGTTGTCACTCTAAGTAACTAAATGAAGCCATGCTAAATATCACAGCTGTTTATAGCTTTCTTTTCATTGATCAATTTTTATAGCAAAAGCTTAAGGAGGAGAGAGAGGCTAAACGAGCTCACCTGGATGGCAGACATGATTATATCTTGGCTATTGTTGCCTCCTGTGTGGATGTGGACAAAACAGAGGTAGAAGATTCTGTTCTGGAGGGTAACCAGGTATGTTCCTCCCTGCTGTGCCGCCCCCCCCCCCCCCCCCCCCCCCGCGCACAACTTGTGGTGTAATCTGTTTTGGAGGTTTATTATTTACAGTAACAGTCTACTTAAACATGTATGCATTGGGATAACTATACTTGTCCTCTTATTTCTGTGATTCTGAGGAGTGACTCCCTCTTAAATTAAGCAATTTTGTGTGGCCAATTACTTAGCCACAAGAAATGACATAAATAAAGAATCAAACTACCAAACTTATAAACTTGAAACTTAATGGAGTACTTAGGGTGGCAAATTCCTTTCCATGTTCAGTAGACCCATTCATTCCATAGGTTAGTTCCATGCTGGGAGATTAAATAAAGTAATAACTGATGGTCAAACCAAGACAGTTGAGTCTTGTCCATCCACTGTCAAAATTTTATCTATTCTTTTTTGAACAAGTTGGATTTCTTTTGGCTTTGTAAAGGTAGTGAGAAATGCAATGTCTAAAGTAAATTGTCCAGAAAATGTACACTTTTTTTTTGTGCAGGATGCTGACCTTGCTTATCGTGTCTCTTATTGATATCTATATTGCCTAGAATTCATTTTTTTTTTTTTTTTAAGGTTACGTGGAATTTTAGAGAAGAGCATGATGACATGTTTCCTCAAAGTAGATATTGTTGTAGGTTGGCAGCACTTATGTTGGTGAATTAAAACAACCATTATTCCAAGGTTTCTTTTTTAACTACCTCCTTGTAGAAAAGCCTTATCTGTTACTGGAAGAGGTATAAAAGCAGCTCTGATCTTTCTTCTGGTGTGATGATGATGGGAAAACTGGCTTATTTCTTTCTTCCACAAACACAGTGATATTAAATTCTCTAGCAATTCCTTAGCAGGAATTGCTCAAGGCTGTTGGTTAGCTACCTGACAAGTTCTAAAAAGAAATAAGAGGTTCTTGATAGCAAAACTTCATGCAAAAAACCCCATATGACATTGACCTGAATCATGGACATATCTAAGCACTTCTAAGGGGGGACATGAGCCATTTCTATTAGGATTTTGCAACACTATTTTTGAACACTTATCAAGGAGATGTTCATTAAATCTTTCTAAATTGTGTTGAAGAGCCTGAACTTCATTCTGGCTTCAATAGAACACAGGTACAGTGCACTAACTAAACTACTAGTGTAAAGGGAGGGGAGGGGGTGCTGATCCAACAACTCTAGCTCTGGTTAAATGAAAAGATGGATGATGCATCTTGGGTTTAAACATGACCACCAGCATTATTTAATTTTTTAAAATAGCAATGCTATGATTCATGTACTCAGTTTAGCAATTAAACAATCTTAAAATCAATTTGCCAGCAATGTGAAAAGTGTACTTGTAATACAACTTCATCTTAAACAGATTGAGCGCATTGATACATTCTTGGCCGGTGGAGGTCTTCGTCATATCATGTTCTTCTATCAAGAAGTGGAGGCAGCTGAAACGGGTAAATTGACTTATTCTACTAGTACTGTCCCACATGATCCCACTAAAATTGTTGGGCCTAGTTGTGCTCTATGATATGTTAACTAGTAGCAAGAATGTTCAGGAAGTTGTATGTTCCATAGAGTAGATAAGCTGATGTTCCTCAGAAATCAGGGGTTTTTGAGGTACTTCCTATCAGTGAAGTTGATTGACAATTAGATAAACGATGGATTCTTGGGGTGCATCTACACACGTTCTTTAATGTTCATTAGCCTACTTTTAATGTACCTTAAAGCGTCACTAAAATGTGCTGTTTAGTTAATGCACATTAAATGTCACTTAATGCACATTAACTAAAGAACACAGTTTAAGACAGGCTAATGTGCATTTTCTTAATACTTCACAATGGAGGGTACTCTTAAATGTACTCCGGGGGTGGGGGGTAGCTCCAAGAGCTGCTCTAATTAAAGCACTGCCGTATCTCGTGTATCGGCATCCGCCACACTTAAATGGTGACGAGGGTGCTTGAACTAAGCTCATTCACAAAGCTTTAGTTCAAGTGCCATCATTTTTAAGTGTGGGGATGCTGATACATGAGATGCAGGAGGCTGCTGGAACGCAGTAATTGCCACAGTCCAGCAGACTTGATCAATTGAATCGACTCCAGTGCACTGGAACTCAAACACATACACAGACAGAGGTGCTCTGATAGGTGCCCAGACATACTAGATTTAATGAACATGAAATAAAGGACAGTAATGTACATGTCACACAAACCTAAGGATACAGCTACACTTAACTCCCAACGTCATTCAAACAGGGAGTTAAACTTAATGGATTCCTTTGTGTGAAATTACAAATCTTACGTTAAACAACATGGATATTTTAGGAGACATGAGGAAATGTCTGGATGTGGGGGCTAGATAGGGAGGAGGTGGTGCTGAATAAAAAATAGGAGAGAGAAACATGGCAAAGGAGGTGGCTGATCATGCTGACTGGGGGCTTCCCTGCCCCTGACTCTTTTTTTTTTTTTTTTTTTTCCCTTCACTCACCAAAAAGCAGCCATGCTGCTTCCGGAAGTCCTGTGGCTATTTCCGGAAGCAGCTGCTTTTGAGGCCTGCCCCACTCCCCGGCTGGCGCTCACAGGGGAGGCACTGGGGCTCCCACCTGCCTGCCAAATGGGGAGCATGGCTGGACAGGGGGTACACCAGTGCTTGGGGGGTACTCATGCACCCCGTATGTCGCCACTGCAGCCTTGAACAACTGGATGCATTCTAGTTCTAGCCATGGCCCTACATATACACAAGTGTATATTAATGTATCTAAATTAATTCTTATTTTATCTCTGGTTCCTTTTATTTGACCTGGGGGTGAGGTGAAAGAGGACCTGAGAGGGAACTAATCCCTTGGGCTTCCTCATTGGTCCATTCCAAATCTGTGGTGGAACCTCCAGAGGGAATAAAAGTCCATGTGCCAAGTGCACGGGCAGCTTTTGAGGCATGACAAAGATGGGGCTTGAAGAGCTGTTGGAGTTCATCAGTGGGGTGGAGCAGTGGCCCCAGAAGTGCCCAGAAGATTTCTCCATTGAGCAGGGAGCAGCAAGTGACTGCATCCCTGCCCCTCTGTGGAGGGAGCTGTGGCAACGGTGCACAGGCTGGTGTACGGAGGGTCTGGAAGCAGACTGCACCTTGGTGGCCGCACTTGGCAGTGTGGGTCACCAACCCTACATAAGTCAGGAGCCCTCGGTGCATGGATCGGTTCGCAGGCCTGGAGAAGATCCAGTACTGGATCGGACCTTGGCAGCTGCACGAGGCAGTTCAGGTCCCCAACCCTGCATGAGGCAAGAGACCTCAGTACATGGAGTTGGAGAGCTGATGGGACTGCACGAGGGAGCACGGGTCCCTGATTCTGTGAGTGCCAGGGGTTCCATGGTGCATGGATTGCTGCACAGGGCCAGTAGAGCTGAAGGACCACTGTGGCTGCATGAGGCAGTGCAGATCCCCAACCCTGCACAAGGCAGGAGCAGGGCCATGGATGCACAGGGCCATAGAGCTGACGGGTTGCTGCAGCTGCGCAAGGCAGCACAGGTCCCCAACCCTGCCCTAGGCAGGCGCCCCCTTCGGTGCCAGGGGACTGAGGGAGGGCTGATAGGCCCTGGTGGCTGCACAAAGCAGCTTGGGCCTTCCTTCTGCAAGCAGTGACTGGACAGGTTGACCACCTCTGTGAGGGAGGAAGCTGGGAGTCATGAGTTACCCAGGGAAAGGGGATTCCTACAGGGGAGGAGGGGCCTTCCTCACTGTGGGTGATCAGTGGGAATCCTCTGTGGAGTGGGGGCAACTCACCCAATAGAACATCATTACCCCATCCTAGGTCCTTCAATTAGGAGGGGACCCGTAACCATGACACTACCCTTATCAAACAGGACAAACAGGGGCCCTATACTCCCCTCTGTGCGCAAGGGTAAGAGGATCTTTCCCTGGGTTGCCATTTGTTCTTCGGGCACAGCTGCTTTGCTACTGCTGTGGTCTAGTTCCTTACACCATTGGGATTCCTGTTGTAACCCTGTGCTCTTATTTTTATATTGTAAAGGATTGTTAGCTGTTTTATATCTAAACTCATTGTATAGGTTATCTGTGTATGTGCATCTTATTTGGTATTTGTATATGTTCAATTATTGTCCCATTGCTGCCTGAGGTTCCTGTGATTGATTTGTAAGCTAACCTATACTTAACATCAAGTGCTCCTTCACCTGCTACCTGGAGGACTACAGCAAGGGGCAAGGCTGTAGGCTAATCAGAAGGCCATAGAAGGTTAGGTCTATGCCTGAGTTCAAGGTTAAAAAGAGAGCCTGCCTGCTACTCGCAATATACATGCACCTGCTGATACCCCCTCTCCAATTGAAGGGATATCTTCTGCATCTCACCTGGGTTACATAGGGGAGGAACCACTTCTCCCTTTCCATTCAGAAACTTGTTATTCAGCTATGCTCATTGGGGAACCCTAAAATATATCCTGGAGTGTCAGGGCTAGGCACATGGTAAGGCAACTCTTTTTCTGCTTCAGAAAAACATGCTGCTGTTCCATAGTTAAATCCGTTTTCGAGACACCCCTCCTGTCCTAGCGCTTTGTAAGTCATTTTTGTCAAACCCTGGAATATTGATGAGGTAGATTTCTGTGGGAAAGTCTTACGGCCACAATCATACAGCGTGCTTAGAGGGAGGGAGAATGATGTCCATATAAGACGGCAATCATCATCATTGTTGTTGGTAGTCTGATACAAGGATGACAGTTTTGCAAGAGCTAGGGAGGGCAATCTCCAGGTGAATCTGGAGATGACTGAAATGGCCAAGCCAAGGTCTGCATGTTTGACTGCGTATATAAGATACACTTCCAAAAAGGAGGAGTGGATCCTGGTGAGGTCGAGTTACAGCTTTTTCTCTTTGTCTCTTTTGCCTATTTGCCTCCATAATGAGGCAAGTTTGCTCACAAATGTTTGATGCTTTTTCTTACTTTGTTGCAGTTCTTTGCTTTTCTTCTATTCCCAAGGGAATTCTAATGCACCATACTTGTACCATGGTTCACCAGCCCATCCACCCTAATGGGTGGAGCTGGGGCTTGTAGGAATAAGGGTGAGAAGCCACAAGTCGGGAGCCAAAATGCCAAGTCAGGGAAAGGAGCCTAGTTACCAAGACCAAAGGATAGATGGGGCAAAGTCCAAGAATAAGCCAAACCAAGCAGGGGTCAGGAGTCGGAAAACAGGTCTGCAGGGAGAATCCAGAGGCTGAAAGCCAGGAGGAAGCCAAAGGCAGAGTCACAAACCAGGGAAGACAGAGATGTTAATGAAATGGGAGCTGTTCTGAAACTAAAGACTGGTATATTGTACAGCAAGGCTCAGGTGCTGGAGGAGTTCCTTAAATGCAGCACCAGACCTAATTGGAGGGAAGGGGCTGTGGGGCAGCTGGCCTTTTATTAGCACTAGCTGGGTCAGTGTACTTAGCAAGTATTGCAGGGTATAAGCCTGCCTGCACCTTTTTTTATAGAGCTGATCCAGGCTGCAGCCTTACAGGTGCACATGTAAGCACTAACTTGTTAATATGCTACGCCAAGAACTTTTCTTGGATGAGTTTATGAAGATGCCTCATGCTTATTGCTTTTCCCATGAACTCTGTCCCCAGATCAGTTTTGAATACCTTCTAATTTTTTCACTCCCCATGATGGTTAACAGTCTATGCCAGTCTTTTTTATTCTACAAAGCATGCAGTATGGCACCATGCTTCAAGGTACATAATGTTCACTATCTATTCCTTTTCCCTTGAATGCACCTAAAGCTGTGAAATAACTACCATCTCAAGTAAAGCTCAGCTCAGAGGTTTCATTTCTCAGTTTTCAGAGTGAGGATTCAGTTGACTCCCTGCCTAGAAGAAATTCAGCACAAAAATACCTTTTTCTTCCCCTCTTTCCCCACCTCTGCCCAAAAATGTTGCTGACCCGGATACAGTCTAACAATTCATGGAAGTGATTACCAAGAATAAAAACATTCTAATATTGTAGGTTGGGGAAATTCGGCCATCATTATCCCTTCTCTACAAAGAGTAATCTCAATGTATGAGTTCCTCATAATTGTTACCCTCTTTATTTTCTACAACCCATAGGTCAATTTGGGATACCTGGAGCAGCAATTACTTCTCACTTAGTAAGAAGCAAAAAACCAAAAGTGTTTGTGACGGAGGCAAAAGATGTTGCTTTAACTGGTGTATGCGTGTTCTTCATTAGATCCAGCCCTTCCAAAACCATCACTACAGAGAATATCCATCAGGTAAGAGTATAGTTTTATTGCTATATAAAGTTCATTTGAATAAAACATCACCATGACATAATTACAACCAGAGATCTGATAAGAGGATCTGTGTGTGCACGCACATCTCTCCTCTCTCATCTGAACCCGACACCCTTGCTATGTGTATATGTATGTATTAGTCCTGTGCGAAGCAGCTAGTATTCGCTTCAGATTCGGTCAATTTGAGGGACAGTGATTTGATTCAGTGATTTGAATCGCTGTACCAAATCAATTTGGCTGAATCTGTTTTGAAGATTCCACTGCTGCTGAATCTCCAAATCAAACAGGCCTCATCCCCCGCCCAGCCGCTCAACCCTAGGATCCCAGCACTTAACTAACAAACAAACAAACAAACAAACAAACAAAAAAAAGCCCCAAACTCGCTGGATCCTGCTGGAGGGGCGGGAAGACGTGTCTCCACTGCCCCCAACTACATTGGGGGGGCTCTGCCATGAGGCCCCAATGGCTGCTGCAGCAGCCAGTGAGTGTGGGGCTTCTATTTTACTTTTATTTTATTTTACTTTAGTTTATTTATTTACTTTTAAAGCACCAGGACACTGGGCAGGTCAGCCATTGATGGGGCTTGGAGAGCAGGTGGGAGGTGCTTGGGGGGGGGAGGGGCGGTGCTGGGGGAGCAGGCAGGAGATGGAGCCTGGCAGGGGTTCGAATCACACGTACACATACCTGAAATAATATATTAATTAGCTAGTTATATTAATTCGCTAATATATTAATCAGTTAGTGAAATATATTAACTAGCTGCTTCTCACAGGCCTAATACATACATATATATAGCAAGGGTGTCAGGTTCAAATGAGAGACAGAGGGAACCTGCCAGGATTCAAATAATCAACTGAAATATATAATTCAGTTGATGATTCAAATTATATATAATTATTTAGTTAAAGCCTTAAACTAAAGATGATAGAATTGCATGTATATATGTGTTAATCAGGTAATCAGATTCCAGAAGTGTGTTTTTTATTTGTTGGTATAAACTTCTGGAATCTGATTGCCTGATAAACATGGTGTGTTATTAAGCTGCAACTGAATTGTGCTAGAAGTAGTCAGCTACAGGTTTGAAGCATATACTGGTAGGTAAAAGAAGAATTTAAGGTCAGAACAAGGTTTAAAGACAAGACTAAAATAACCTTGAGTAGAGCTCAGGGTAACAAACGCCAACTACCTTCTTGCACATACGTTTGATCAAATAACAACAGTTGATGCCTTGGTTCAACATTTTGCTACTCCAGGTAGAGGATTCCCAGGGTTTTACATCCCACAAAATATGCTTGTTCATTTGTACTAGTGGTTGCACTAATGTGTGACTTCCTAGACTTTTTTTTCAAATTTTATAGTGTACCCGCCTCTGTTCCACCAGGAGTTCGCGCGCCGCCTTCGCCCGGACCCGATGTTTTGCACACCCGGGCTTCGTTCGTAGTGCCCAGGTTTTGCCCCGCCTGGTATAAAGGGAGACCCCAGAACTCGCCTGCCACGACTTTGATGACTCTTTCAGTGGGGGGTCTTCCCTCGGGGCATCCCCCGGTGCTTGCGTGCTTCCTCGCGGGAACTCTCGGGGCTCCGTCCTCCCCTACACCCCGGCCATACGCCCCCTCAGGTCTTCCTATTCTGGCCCCCAATCCGTCCTTGCCTCGCGCTCTCTTGGTTCGGACCCGCTGGTGACTACCAGTGGTCTTCGGACCGGTCGTGCCTCTCCCCGTAAGGATGCCAGCTTACGCTCCCCTTTCTTGGGCTGCAGATGTCTGTTCTGCTCTCCCAATAGTTCTCGCCCCAGTTACCCGTGCCGTCGGCTCTATAGCGTGGAGTATCGTTGGCCCCACTCTCGGCGCCGTCGTCGCCCCTCCGGCCGTCTCGGGTGGCAGGTTCCCCGCTGGCAGCTGCCCCCTTCACGAGGCTGACCTCTCCCCTCCTTGTCCCGCTCCCGGGTGCTGCACTGCGTTGCTCCCAGCTGGTTCTGCCGTGTGACTCGCAGCCTGCTCCGCCTCTGCTCGGCGTCGTCC